GAAATGATATAAAGGTACATAATCGCATTCATTACTGTGTTCTCGGGGGCAGAGACGTGCAAAAAGGCCTCAACAGAATCATGGAAATATGCTATCTAGGTACAGAGTGGCCAACAGCGACTGTAGGGCAGAATTTGCTTTGGTGTGAAGCACACTGGCAGAAATTGTGGCCATCTTAGAAGTCTTCAATAAAATTGTTTGGAAATACATAGAAAAGACCACTTACAGGGGGAAAAAATAACCAAGGAACATAAGATTTTACCAAATGCAACATTAGCATTCCTTGAAAATTTTATAAAATTGGAAATCATTTTAAAGTCTGTAACTATTTTTCCTCAGTTGTGAAACACTGTACTGAAGCTAAATATAAAACACTTTGATTAATTTGATTCTCATTTGGAAGACATTTAAAGAAAATAATAATGCTCTGAAATCCCTTACAATTGAAATTTCAAGATGTTTCTCTCCACCATCAAAAACATCCAAAATAGTTGCTGCCACCTGATCCTTTTGCCATCAGTTTTACTAAGCTTGGTTAATAGAACTGAAATTATAAGAGAATGTGCAGCTACATGGACTTGTAAAATTCAGAATATGACAAAATTCAATATAAGTGAAGAATGTTCAGAGATTAGAATCGGGCCAAGATGTTCAAAATCTGCATGTGAACAACCTTTCTTGTGGCTATAGGGAAAGTTTTAAAGGGCCTTATTCCTTCACTGACGTCTCAGAAGAGCAGAGAGCAGCAGTTGGTGACACCAGGGTTTGCATTCATCTGAGCTCATCAGCTGTTTCTAGTTGTGTGTTATTTCCACTCTGACACACACACACACACACACACACACACACACACACACACACACACACAGCCTATCTATGCCTTGGTCAGTACACATAAACCTTCAGCCCTAGATTGAGTTTATAGCGTCAACAACCTTAAGTCAGAGCCTAAGGACCATTTTCATTCTCAGGCAGAACTGCTTGTAGTCCTACTCAGCTTTTGTCTTCAAAACTCAATGGTCAGATACTATTTATAAAGTCCTAGAATTTCATTCAACTGTAAAGCCATAAGATGGGGGCTTTCAAAATGAAGTATTCCATTCTATTTTGACTTTTATGACATTCCCTATTTTTTCTATGTAGAATTTTAATTCCTACATACATCAAAGGCCATATGCTTTCTAACTCCAGAGCACATTTAAAATCCCTTGATTTATATTCTTTAGAACATACATTTCATTATCTTCCTCCCTCCCTCCCTCCCTTCTTCCCTGCTACCTCTCTCCTTCTCTCCCTCCCTCCCTCTCTCCATCCATCCCTCCCGCTCTCTAATTTCTAAAATGAGGATCACAATGTCTGGTCTCAAATCTAACACCACTGTATTTCTTACATAATTTTAGACAAATCAATTAATCATTTTCAGTGGCTGTAAGATGAAACCTAAGTTCTCTACCTTGCCAAATTTATAAGCTTTTATGTGAGTATGAAATGAGGAGGCAAAGTCATTCATTTGGTATTTATTCAGCCTTTAATATCTGTCAGATCTGTTTATCAGATTCTGGGATTTATTTATGAAGAGGACAAATAAGGTCCCTACCCTTGTGCACTGGCATTGGGATTGGGAAGACAGTTAGTAGGTGAAGAAGCAAAGTCAGGGTTACACCTTGTGGTAGGTGCTTTGAGGAAAGTGATGGAGAATGACAGCAACGGTGATACTTAGGGCTGTCAGGAAAAGCCTCTGAGGAAGTGACTTTGAGAAAGTGACACTCGAGGTCATAATATATGAGAGGAAGCTTGCCGTGTACTGAGCCATGAAAGTGCATTATCAGCTGTAGGATGTTACCTCCGTGAGTAGTAGCCCCCGCTGGTCCCCTGTGCAGTAGGGAAGTTAGAAGGCAACAACAGATTTTAGATTGTCCTATTTCTGGAGCTATAACTGTACAGTGATCTCTGTACTTTCTTATGAACCTCCATTTTTTCATCCAAATCACTCATATCTTCCTCCTCTTCTGTTTCTGGTTTGTGCTAGCTTAACCTCGGGACTTGTCACTGTTCCCTGTCTGTGACACTTCCTAGCTCAGGCTGCTCTCAGTCCTCCCTATCACCGTTCCTATACTTCCTTCTGCTTCAAAACTCCCTGCAACTGAGTTCTCTTTCTAATGACCCTATAATTCTAAAACCTTCTCGAAGGTTTCCAAGGTTGCCTCACTTATGGCAAAACTACCTATCCTTCATAATATAAGCAACTGGCTAGCACAGTGCCTAGCACATAGTAAGTTCTAAATAAATATTTATTGAATAATGAGTGAATGACTGATTCTCTTCATCTTACTCAGTCTACCTATAGGATTAAAGGGTTTTTTTCTTAATTACATGTATATTCTTTTCTCACATGTAAAATGCATGAAAAACCTTTATCTTCAGCTATATAGAATAACAAAATCTTACTCCTCATTCACAAGGTATTTTAACTTTAAATCTACTCTATATGCTGTACAGGTGGAATTTTGTCATTGATCCTAGAGATGCCTAGAGATACTGACAGTGTCCCTAAGACTTTTTTATAGTGTCCAGCACACAGTGTATGGCTCAGCACACAGAATTTAGTATGATAACAATCCATAAGATTTCAGTTGTTTGGGCTTTTATTTTTAGCATCCTGAATAATCAGATATATCCATTTAGATTAAGCAGAAGTTTTCTATGGAAAAATCTTTGTATTGAGGAAGTTGTCATAGTTTCAGTTAAGCAGCAACTAAAAACAGTGTTTCTTTTAAAGCAGTTTTTCAAGTATGTTCAGAGTTTTGTTTTCACATTATATAGTATTATTGTTCATTAATGGCAATAATAATTTAGTCTCAAAAACTTTGAGATTTGTCAAAAACAAATGGAATATTCACTTTTCACAGGTATAGAGGTATGTTTAGAATAGGGTTGGGGAACCTATTTTCTGACAAGGCCCATTTGGATATTTATAACATCCTTCTCAGGCCATACAGAATAATCAGCTTAAAAATGAGCCTGCTATATTTCGTCAAACATTTAATTAACTCACCCCGAATGCGTGGGCAGGGCCAGACCAAATGATTTTGCAGACCTTATGACGCCCGTGGGCCGGATGTTCCCCACCCCTGGCTTTAGAATCATCACTGCCAACTTGTTTCCAGAATTGCATCTTAAGTGTTAAAGTATTTATTTCAAAGAAATAAAAATCTTATATTACATCAATTAGATATAACTTATAAACAATCCCTTAGTTTTAGGCATTCTCTGTTTATAGCTCTAAAATTTTTAAATAATACCAAAAATATAGTCTCATTGATTTTTATTGTTGCTTGTATTGTATACTTTAATTCAAGAAATTTTATGTAATTTTCACTCTGAATGTTTTATTTTGACTAATATAAGGTTCTGAGCCATGTGATCAGGACCGACTTTAGAACAACAGTTCAGTGTTTATGGCTTTATGCTTGTTTCCCTGTGGGATGTACCTATAAAGTAATGAATGGGACAGTCTTCCTAACAAACATACTAGGAGCCAAGTATCAGAAAGGCCCTTGTCCCCTTCAAATCAGTCACCTCGAGGGCTACACTGTTCCAGTAAAACTGCTATAACATAATAGTGTTAAGAAATAATAAAGACTATGCTAAGAAATAATGAAGACTAAAATGACATTATTCTGAATAGATCGTAGATTGTAACAGATGAATTTGATCTTGTTGAGTAGTCAGAAATCATCCCAGCACCAACTGCAGTGAATGAAATTTGGAGGCCTGTTTGGAGTTACAACTGGATGTAAAAATAATAAGATGGACTTTCTTGAATAATACATAAACTAACTCTTGAAAGTGTCAAAGAGAAATTCCAGAACTTTGGACCTTGGAATAAATGTATAAACTCCCAAGGTAGCTACTATAAGAACATTACATGTTTAGGTTAAAAAAATGTGTATGTTTGCAAAATAAGATCAGTTTTATTACTTTATAGACATACCTTGTAGATGAAAAAAATACTTCTATCATGGAACTCTTTATAAGCAAACTTCCGAATGTAAGTAGAATTTCTGTCTCACCCTATCTGAGTCTGTTGAGAAATCTGAATTTCTAATAATGACTTACTCTGAATCTTTAGCTTTAAAAAAATATATAATGTTTTCCATTTAAAAAATGGATGAATTTAGGTTTTACGTCACCATTTTCTGACTAGCTTTGTTTAGTTTGCTCTTCAATTTTTTATTTAGTATATTATGTTCATCTTTGTCCACCCTGAGACTCTCAGAATGTATTTTCCCATTGTAAAATTATCATCAAACTCGTGAATGGAGATAGAAAATAAAGCCTAAGCTGAAGGTTAGACCTTGTTCCATATTATTTTAAACTCTGTTTGGTTGGCATTTGGAACAGTCAGATGCCTTTCTTTGTTAAAAGTGGAACCCTATTATCTTACTAAATAAGAACAGCAACTTACAAAAAGAAAAGCCTTTCTATAAAAGTAAATACTCTCAACTTTGGAGCTCCTATTATGTTTTTCATTTCAACTAATAAAAGCTTGAAAAACAGAATTCAACCAAGCAGCTGGGCCATGTTTTTCTCATGTCAACTCCAGGTGGACTCGTGGACGTGGACTGGGCGTGGACCTGGAGAGTGCGCTGCTTCATGGGGCCTTTCCACATTGATCCCACCACATCCACACTCATCCAGGCTGTCAGGCCCCTATTTCCTGCTGCTGCGTTGAAATAATAAAAGTAAAATGGAGTGTGGAAGGCAGAGAAAATTGGTAGCCTTTTGCAGGGAGACTAAGACAGCTAAATTGTGACACAATTTAAACTGTTCAAATTCGACAAGTTTGATTGAAAAATTGCATGACCTGTGTAGTTAGAGAGCAAAACGGTCACTAGTTTATAGTTTTAAAAAGTCACAGGGCGCTGTGTTTACCGCAGACTGAGAATATTCTTTTATTCGGCCTGGTAGTAATTGTTGCACAAATGCCTGTTTTGCAGTTTGGCGATTTAAATGCTGTGTCTCCTGGAAATCTGGATAAAGGTAAGAATTTAAAATAATGTACATTGTTAAAGACTTTATTTGACTGGGAAATTCTCACAGAGGAAAATGTAGCGTATGTGTCTGGCACTCTTACTCTGTGGAAACAGCATACAGTCCTAGGTGAGTATGGCTGTGATGTCTTCAGAATGCTTCATTATTTCTCCATTTCTGTGCTTTCTTTATGGGAGGTGCCTTAAGTACAAGAAATAAATTTCAACACAGTTACAAGCTCATTTTGGCTTTTTGCCTGAAGTTCGTTTTAAGTTCATTATTTCTGACCATCTGCAGAGTCCTAGAGAAATGGCATAAAAGTTGCTTTAAATATCTGTATTCAAGGCCTATCAGGCAAGGAAAAAAGATTCCTCAGCCTACCTATCGCCACTCCACACTTCTCAATGGAAAAGGAACTCAGAAAGAGCCGTGATGTTTACTGGAGAAGCAAGATAAATCGTGGTGTAGATGGAAAGGATAACACACATTCTCTTTAAATTATAATCCCAGCATCACCACTCTAATATGACAGTAGGACATATATTCCTGAAGAAACTCTTGCTCTACAAAACCACAGAGTGAAAGGACTATGGATTAGGGGTGGGGGGTGGGGAGAAGGTTGGAATAGAGCACACAGCAGCAGAAGAAATCCTTTAGAAAACCAGCCCAGTTTTTATAAAAATATAAAATTTCTAATAAACAAGCACAGTAGAAAATGTAGACCTTTCTTCAAAAAAACTAAGAAGTGAAGATAGCTTGAGGTTTTAAAGAATTGAGTTCTGGAGTCAGGGACAAAATGCACAAAGACAGGTGAGAATAACACAATTAGCCCTTCCAAGCACAGCCAGAACCAGTGGGGAAACCAAGGCAAGAGGAAGGACTTGGGGAATCTGCACATGAGTGCAGTGCTGTTTTCTGGAGCAGCCTGTCCTCGGGCACTCATTGTCCAGCTTCTGACCCTCCTTGGCGGTGGAAAACAATGTGCCAGGGAAGGTCACCTTTGAATCCATGTCACTCCCATGTTGAACTCCTGTCAGGCAATTGTGGGTACATTAATTCCTGTTAGAGGAACATACATAGTAGCAAAGCAGGAGAAGTGGAAAATGATAGCCCCAAAATATTGTTGCTGTACCTATATACTCTATAGGATTAACCAAATAACCCTCAGAAAGATAAATCAATTATGAGATGATACGAATTTGTAATGGAAGAGCCAGAATGGTGCCAGTTGAAGCCCATGTCCAGCATACAGCCATCCTGATAGCACACTGACACCAAAGCCGTTTAACAAAGAATTTGTTGTTTCATCCCTGCGTGCCCACAGGTGCAGTAGGAGTATGACTACTTGGCTAAACACTGAATGGCAGCCATTCTTCTTTGTAAAGTGCTAAACCAAGTCTTCAGTCCACTCCAGTAGCACCTGATGTTAATTTTTCTGTACCAAATGTCCATAATCGATAGTAGGTTTCTAGAAGATGTCTTGCAATCTATTGATGCATAAAATGTCTATGGACTTTCCCTTAGGGACTGGAGAAAAGGCTTGCTTTGTAGCCTATCCAAATGATCCCTGTCACCCCTAGTGACCTGCACAAAAGTGGCCTGGAGCACTGGAGTTTGTCCTGTCCACCACCTACAGTCCTGTCCATTTCTGCCCAAAACAGGTAGAGAGAAGGGCTTTGCTCATTCCCTCTTCACCTGCCTACCTGCTGGAAGTTTTTATTTTCCTTTCAGTGCTGGGGTTTATTTATTTATTTATTTATTTTTGCTATTATAATTTTGACACTATTTCTCAGGCACAGGAAAGAAGGTAGAGAGGGATCTGAGAAGCAATGCAATTTTACCTCACATTCTTGGAATGGCTCTGCTGGTCCCATTCACCCTCAGACATGATGCTTCTTGAGATATAGCTGAACTGTGGCATAATCAGAGCCTAAGGTTTGAATGCAAAAACTTCAAGACTTTTTGTTGGCTCTTTCCACAAAAATGAGATATTTAATGTTTTTCCTGATAATGAAAGTAGTATTAGCTCTGTATAAAAATTCCAAGTAATACAGAGAACTAGAAACTATTGAGAGTGAAATTTCAAAGTCGCAACCCTAAGAGACTACTGCCATTAAGAATTTTGTGAGTGTCCTTCTTCTTTTGTTTATATATAAACAACTGCATCAACAAAATGCAAAGTATCATACATGTGTTTTGATTATACCCTCTTGATAAAGCAAATGTCTACCAAATTTATCCTCCACGCAGCCAACCAGCCCTTCACATGTGCTTGTTCTAACATCTGTTATCATCAAGTCCATTTTCCAAAGCAAAAAGGTAACCGTATAAAATAGATGGGCCAGGAGGTCTCTTGCCACACTAGTTCTTCTGTGTTTACGGTTTAAGGATGCATTGCAGACGTCATTCCTGTCAGTACATCTAAACTCAGCCTTTTTCATTACATACACCGCTTCTCAGGAGATGCTGCTCCTGGCAGCTGTGCACTGCACCACGCCACGTGGAGGTCCCTGCGACTCCCACTCAGTTCTCTCTGGAACCATCTTTGCCCCGTTGATAACAAGAGAGGAACATTCAGGGCCCATTTATGTTGAGAGCTGCATTCGCAGGGATTGATGTGGTAGGTGTGCCCCAAGTGGTAACACTAGACTCAACCTTAGAAAGAGTTCAACTTAATCTGACCTAAGAGCTACTTGTACATGACAGAAGAGAATAACATGAAGATTTGGTTCAGTTTCTACAAGTGACTAGAAATCAAAAGTATAACAAGTATAGATATATTTTAATTATCGATGAGCTATTTTATGTGATTATGCCTTCATTTTTTTTGGTAAACAGTAAAACATGTCGAAGGTGAACTAAAAAGATTTTTAAGGCAAAAATTATATTCCCTGCTGTTTAAAAGTGGTCACTCCTGAAGAGGCATTCTCTATACTCCTCGGAAGGGAATCTCTCACAGCAATAAAGCTGTGTGAGCATTTTCTCTCTCTACTTTTGAATTTTAACTGTGCTGCTGGAAAACATTAAATGGTATTCCATTCTAATGATGTTTTAGTTCATATAAAGTGTATTAAAATTTGGAGAGACCAGTGACTAATACATTTAATTTCCAGAAATGAATACCAGTCTTAACAGTGAATATCAGTGTTGCCAGGAATGGAAATCCATTGTGCATTGTTAATTTGATACTTCTGCCTTAGTCTTTATAATTTTTGGCAATAAGAATTAAGAGCCTATTTAATATTATCATCTATACTATTTGTGCTCACCAAAAGTCTTTACAGCAACCCATGCTTGTACCTGATATATGTCATCACCAGTCTCACCTACACTAATATCAACACGTAAAATTTATATCTAAGTATAGATTTTTGGAGGAGACTGAAGTTTTTCTCCCTCACTTCTTTTTTTAGTTAGCATTTTTCACCTCAATACATTCCCCAAATGCCAACAGTGTATTAAAGTGACTACTTCATGAAGACACAACTTATGCCAAACTACTTAATACAAAAACGTTAGGAAATTCCAAAGGTCTTTTTAAGTTTTGGAGTTATTAAAAGTATTAATCACAAACTAACCCCGAATAAATTACCTTTATCATGTTTGAAAGAATTATGGATGCATTAACTGATCTTTGATGCAAGTGAAATCCACGGAGAGGAAAACCTATAAGCTTTGTCCCCTGAGAAGAGCTGAGAAGTTGCTTTCCTAATGCTCCATATTAACGTGTTTCTAAGCACAAGTTGATTGCCATTTTCCAGTATGTCTTTTGGTAATGGTCGTGGCATTATTTGTTTGTGCAGATGAAGGCAGTGAGGTGGAAAGTGAAATGGATGAAGAACTAGATGACTCTTCAGAACCTCAAGCCAAGCGAGAGAAAACGGAGCTGACCCCGGCGTTCCCGGTGGGTTGTCTGCAGCCTGTTCTCGAGAGCAGCGTGCAGCCCAGCCTCCTGAATCCCATCCACAGCGAGCACATCGTCACAAGTACTCAGACTATCAGACAGTGCAGCGCGACAGGCAACACTTACACTGCGGTCTAAAGAATATTAAAGCGTATTTTTCCAGCTAACATTAACCCTGTTGATATTGGGCTTAAGTTGAGAAATTAATAAGCCTGAAGGTCGACTGTTGTCAAATTCTATCTGTGCTGAACATTACCTTTTTGGAGTTGTGAAATGGAATGGGTGTATGTATTTTGCCAGGTCTTTTTTTTTTTTAAACGTAAACAAATTATTTGCCTCTTAATAATAAGAGGGTTTTTTCTTTAGTTTTGGGTGTCAAGAAGGATTTTTACAACACTTAATATTTTTTTCTTATAATTAAAAGTAATTTACATTTTTGTAGCTGAAAATATTTTATTGTTGATTGTTAGTCTTGGTGTATGATTTCATGTGTGAGTTTTTAATTAGATGCACTTCTGTGAAATATCAAAAGAAATGCATTTTTTATTTACACTGGAGGCATGCCCATTTGGCAGCAGATGCATCAAATTTGCTTTTGAAAGGTGCTTTTCATTGGGCCGAACCACAAGACACTATTTTGATAGCATTTTGGAGTATGGAGAAAGAATACAGAGCATTTTTATGATAGTGCTAGAGGGTTGGGAAGGTCATCTATATTTCTCTGAAGAAAAATTGAGCTGTGCATTTATCAGTTCAGAGTAAATGACAGAATTGCCAGAGATTATGCTAATATGTACATAATTTGTGTACATAATGATTAAATCATGTTAATGCAAGCTTCCGTTAAACATTGAATTTTAACTGTTATTTGCATACCAATTCCTCTGTTTAATGACTACTGATTCTGTATTTGGGACCACTGCACAGATGCGTTCTGCTGTTGAGTGGGGCTGTTATAGTTAGAGACTGAAGCTGAAAATGACTTGACTTTTTTTTTTAAGTGTACATGCTACTTATGCTGAGCTGGACATACAGGAAACCATTCCATTTGGATGACTTTCTTTTATTCCAGGTCTTTTTCCTAATAGTAGTTCAATATGCTGCTATTATAAGAGAAAATTTATAGAATGCAAGGAATGTAGCAACCTGCATATCGTTCTTTCGTTCAAAAATATTTCCTGGTTTCTAAAGTATGTGGATTTAAATTTTAAACAGAACCTGAAGGCAGTGTAACTGGCACGCCATACTGTTGCTTATCTCCGATTCTGTAGGATTTGGATAGGTGGCTTGATGGACCAGTGCCGCTGAAGAATGTACATCAGGGATCATCGTACCTCGGCTATAACATGGTGCCTTAAAACAGAACTGAAGCTAAGGTTTAGTAAGGCTTATTTTGTTCCTGTAAATTCCTCTTCAGTCCATTTGACAAGCTGTGCCTGTCATTGTCAGATTCCCGAAGTAAGGACAGGTTACATGTTCTTCAAAGGAAATTTAGGGCAAACAAAGCAAAACAAAAAGACGAAAAAATCAGTTTCCCTCTTTGAGTGACCACGAACCTATTTTTTGTTCTTAGAGCTGAATAATACTTGATTATAAGTTAGATTGCTTAAGGGTATGGAGTAGCAGGCTAGTTTTAATCACCAACTTGTTACATAAAACATATATATGTTAGACCATTCTTATCTAGTTATAATTTAAGAAAGTTAAAATAAGTAGGTACTTATCGAAGTGCATCTTTTCAGTCTCCGTGTTTGTCTGTGTGTCTTGGTGTCTGTGTCCACATGCACACACGAGTGCCCATGGGCGGAGTCAGCTACCACAGCAGAAGATGAGATCCAGGAGTGGATACACCATCCCCATGTTAATTTACATGAAGAGCCAACGTCCTTTTAAGCACTCAAATTATTAACAACAACAACAAAAAAGGCACATCTATTCATTTAATTCATTCTTAAAAAGCTAATAAGCAAAAATAAGTACATAAAGCCAAAAAAAAGGGAAAGCACAAAATTATTTACAGATTATTAATGAGACCTATATGAAATTCAAGATGTTTATCTTTCCAGTTTTATTGGGGTGAGGGTGGGGGGTGGAAAGAAGAGGGTGAGCCAATCTGTAAAGTTAAAACTACCAAATGGCTTATTGGGTAATACGCAGTCTATTTCAACTGTTGTTGCTCAATTGCCTTAGACTACTCAGATAACTGAGGTCAACAGGTTTCTTCAGTAAACATTAAATGCATTAGATGTAATTTTTTTAATTGATTCAAATTTTGTATTATACAGCTCATACTAATATATTCAAAAGTCTTTTGCTGGCTTATCGCCTTTATCTAAATATCATTTAAATTATCACCTCCCTTTTTCTCCCAAAAGGCAATGAATTTGTACCATCACACACACACACACACACACACACACACACACACACACACACACACACACACACACACACAAAGGCAAACCAGCAAGCAAGACCCCTTAAGCTGCAAAGACCATGTATCTACTTCATTGTGCATTAGGAAACATGGACAGGTACATTTAAATCAAAAAAACTGAAAAGGAAAAAACCCCCACACTCTTTGTTTTGACCCTCCTTTCTTGATTTTTCACTTTCCTAACCCTTTCCACCACACCCAGAAGTATGCTATATTTGTATTGGACCAAATGTATTTACCGGTATCATCTTGCTTATTGAACAATTTTAAATATATTTATTATAATTGTTTCCTTTAATTTAGTGTTGGATATATTTGTTTTGTTAGAGGAATCTGATAATAATGGGCATACAGTGGGGCCTTGACTTACGAGTTTAATTCGTTCCGTGACGGAGCTCGTAACTCAAATTACTCGTATGTCAAATCAATTTTCACCATTACAGTGACACGTGATGTTGGGCTGATGTTGTGGCGTTCACTGTGATGTTCGCTGCACCAACTAGCGGTGGGGTATCTGAAGCTGGCGCGTAACCCGAATTTTAGCTCGCACCTCAAAGCAAAAAATTGGCCGAGAGACGACTCGTATCTCGAAAAACTCGTTAGTCGGGACACTCGTAAGTCAAGGCCCCACTGTATTTAGATTAATGAAAATTAGAGACTGGGGATCCTCCAAGGTTCAACATTTCTTCTAATTGTTCATGGTTTGTTCTAAATTTAGACAGATCAGGAATTAGATCCTCCAAGGTTCAACATTTCTTCTAATTGTTCATGGTTTGTTCTAAATTTAGACAGATCAGGAATTAATATTATTATATTTCAACTTGACTCACTAAAAATATTCTGATCTCCTTTATGAATACAGTTAGGAACATAAATTCTTTGTGACAAGTATAGATAGTTCTGACCCATAGACAAATAATATCTATGATCTATGCTACTTCCTGTTATTTGAAATCCACAGTAAGACACATACACACATATACAATCACAAACAAAAATCTTAACCATTTTGAACTTGAATTGTGAAATGTTTTACAAAATAAAAACATCATAATTTATACCTTTGAGCAAATTGGAGCAACCACATTTATTGCATTTATTAAACATTTTATTTCCATTTTTCAGTCATTGAAACTGACTTTTTAAAATAACATTAGACACTAATACAATAGGTTTATTAACAAGTGACCAGGACAAATTTTAAGAACTTAATGTTTCATGGCATTATAATCAAACACTAGTCCTGAAAAATATCTATATAGACCAAGTGATAAACTTTCATTGAGGAAAAATGTGAAGAAGGTATGTTGGCTATTTTTAAGTTTCAGAAAAAGTATTTCCATATAATAGGATCAAGTATCAATAGTATAGTTTGATCTTTGTGTATTAGTATACATCTCCAAAATATTTACATTCCTACAGCCCATGAACAAGAGGCTGAAATGGGTGAACTGTCCACTTGGACCCAGTTTAAAAACAATTTTTGGATATTAAGTGGCTGGTCACTTTTTCAGGATTTTCATCCAAACTATGTTTAGACTGACTGTATAAGTCTTGCTGCCTTTTCAGAAATCTGCTTTCCTTTTTGTGCTTTTTTCTTGTACTGTATAGCACGGTTCATGCACCTCTCTTTAGATGGTGTACTTTAAAAACAAAAATAAATTTTAGAAAATGGTTTTAACACTGCATAACTAAAATTAGTAGTGTGCAACGTTGACTGCCTTTGATGTGTAGTAGACGAGTGAAAATGAACATGTTCTTGTAGAATGCTGTCAAAATCATTCAGGAATGAACACGGTTTCATTACTGTAATCATGAACCTTTTTACATGAATGCACTTTCTAGAAGTGCTAAATGTGATGCATTTTCAAAGTTTAAAAAATCCTTCAGATGATATATTTGAGATGTCTAAAATAATGCTGTGCTTGAAACATTTGTGTAAAAGAAAAAAAGATGTGTGTCACTGTGATGCTGGTCCTCCCTGTGTGGACAGAAGTAGAAAGTAAAAAAACTTTGGCAAGTCACCTTTGTGTACAATTTGAGGCAGTGGTCATATTAAAAAATTGACCTTTATGATGACCTCCCTTCCCCCAAATTCTTGGTGAGACAGTAACCACCACCAAAAAATCAAAATCAAACCCTGTGATTTGTATGAATCACACAGGACATGAGGGAGAGAGGTTGACATGCAGTGAAAATTGGGCTTGTCACTAGATCAGATCAACCTCCATGTATATGGTTAGAACAAATCAATTAATGGAACCCTAGTATTTCTGCAGGTTTGATTATTTAAAAAAAAAAATAACTGGAATAGAAGCATTAATTCAGTGCTTAGTTCTAGTGTTAGAAACCCCTTTGATGTAATGCCTTGTATTAACCCTTTGAGCATTGTAAGATATACAATGGGGGACAAAAGCCTTTCAGATCCTTTATTTAGACTTAGACCGGTAAAATATACTCTATATCCAAATGTCTAATTATGCTGGTTTTTTTAAAGGGGGGGTAGGAAGAGAAAGTGTTTTTACGCCGAACACTTGCATTTTATATACGACTCTTAATTTTCTTCAAGAGGGCTTGATATATTTATTCCCAAATATTCACTGCCATCTAAGTAAGTGTACTGTTTACAAAAATAAAAATAAAAATCAACTTTTCTAGTATCACAGCATGACTCTAGAAAAGGACGACCACACATGGGCCCGTGGACCCATGTCAGACCGATTTCTGCACATTGAAAGTACCTAGATTGCCTTTAAAAGGTATGATAAAGAAAGGGTTACATTTCCCCCCGAAACAAAAAAGATTTCATTTATTTAGCTTTAGAAAGTACAATTGTAAGTGAAGCCTTAGGAAGAAACGAGTTCGAGTAGCTAAAGAAAAGCTGAACTCTTTGGGGGCAGGTAAGCTGTTTGGAGTTAGATCTCTCATAACACATTGTTTGGGAATTTCATACAGGGCATAATTTAATCTATGCTCCAAAACTTTAATACTTTGTCAAAAAAATTATATAGAGATAGAATGGAGAGCAAAAGCACTTGATTCGAGCTCATCTGATGCTATGACTACTGCTTCTGATACCTGGAAACGCCAGTCTGCTCACACAATTGCTGACTCTGTTCACGGGCGCTCTGCGTGCACTGGACTCCTTTGTCCCCTGCCTGATGGAACACGAGAGCAGTGCTGTCCGCAGATGTGCTTGCGCTGCCCTGGCCGGGCACAGATAAAAGCGTAACCTATTCCAATGCCTGGTGAAAGGACATCCATAGCCTAGTGCAAGTTTGCCGTAAACGTTGCTTTTTAGGCAGTTTAGGAGGTCAAACCATGCAAATTACTCATGTGTTAACATGCAATACTCAAAGGGTTTTAATTTAACTCTCTTCTTTTGAATTCTTCATGATGATTTACTGTAAATGCTTCTCAGTTTGCATGCTCTGATCATTGCTGCTAGTGATTTTACGTGCCAGTAGACCTGAGTTTAGTTTACCAATTTTACTTAAATAGTAAAAGCCACTTACAAAGTGACTGCCTAGGATTTTTTTTTTCTTTTGTTTGAAGTAATTGGTAATATGTCATTTACAAAAAATGTGTTTTGTCTCTTATTGGTTCTGGTATTTGATTCTTTTTTTCCCTCTTTCCTTTGTTTTTTAAATAAATTATGATGTTGGGATTGGAAGCCCTGAGTAATGAAATCTTTGGTAAGAATTGTTTATGTAGCTCAATAATGAGGACAACAAATCTTTGTTAGAAGAATTATGATTCTGGGGAGGAAAGAAAAAATAAAAACCCCCATTTACTGTTGATGACCAAGTAAATTTTTCCTTGAATGAATTAATAGTTTTGAACAAATGATTGCCTTGTTTTAACCTGCTAAACACAATTTTAAATGACCCAATAAAGGAGGTATTGAATTTTATGCATTTAAAAAGCATCTTTTGTACCAAAGCAAATTTTTTTCTCTACTCATCTGCATCATCAATTGGGACCTATGGTGGTGACCAATGTGTTGGTTACAGAAACTTCAAGTGAGTGCCTTGAGAAAACTGGGAAATTTGTGCCTGGGGTGGTAAACATTTAATTAGGTTCATTGTAGTGCTTACCAATCAGTAATTCTACTATCACTCAGGGCTTTCGTACCTTCTAGGTAAAACTCCTTTCATTGCGTTTTTTTAAAATACTGTGGTTTTTTTTTTAAGTGCCATCATTTAAATTTCACTTAGTAAGTGGCAGATTTCATTATTCAGTCCCACAAGCACAGAAAACATAGTAACACTAGGAGATATTGAACATTTATTTTACATCGACTGAATATATTATGTAAATGAGGTAAGCAACTTTTGTAGAGATTGTATGTGTGAGATAATGTAATGTTCTTTTCCAGTTTTTGGACTACAGTTGAATAAACTTTTTAATTATTTAAAAAACATCTTTACCGAATAACATGTGATGGTTTTTTGTATAATGTATTTGATTTTGTAAATACGTATTTCCTGATGTGATTTTTGTGAGAAATGCTAAATCTTTTAGTATATCATGTCCTCTCAAGATTGGCAGGAGCTAAATAATAGTTTGTGGGCAATTTGTATTGTGTACTGTATAATAACTGGGGAACTTTTATAATTATAAAAATATATATTAACTTTTAGTGTGTTGTTTAAACAAATGACTGGAACATACTAAAGATATTAGTAGGATTTTTCTGAATATTTCAGACTTGAACTCAGGCTAGCTTTCTTGTGTTTTTCAAAACAAAATGGTGTCTTGTCTTTTAAAATCAATAAATTTGTTTCCTTGTTACAAATACATTTGAAATGGCTTGATTTTTCCTCCCCTTAACTCATTGCCAGGGACCTTATGTTGCACTGCCTCATGTAGAGGGTGGTCTCTGTGTTGTTCACTAGCTTAGAAAAGAAATTAAGTTGTTTTCCTTTTTTGTGTCAAGTGAAATTGGCAATATTTACACATGAACAGCATAAAAAGAGAAAACAAAATTATAAGCCCAGCAGGGTACTAATCTTACCCTCACAGAAAATTAGTGATTAAGTGCTATTTAATTTCAGAAGCTGTCATCATTTCCATTGTAAATCCAGATTTTTGGATGTTCATAATGTGTTTGTTTTGTGTCACTTCATATTAATATTTGGCACCCAAGTTTCTTGCTTAGGTTGCAACAGCTTATTAAAATTCGTTCTAATGCACTTAATATTATCTGCTCCCACTTTTTCCCTTCTTTGAATTATATAGTTACATACAGGAAAATTTGCTGCTTTTAGTGTACCTTTCTGTGATTTTTGACAAACACACAGTATATAAGGCCTCCTCCTAGGAGTATGGAATAGCCCATTCATATGGGGTTTCTTTAAGTGAGAGAAATTCCAGACAGAAAACATCCTTAAAAGGAATGTAGACAGAATTATAACCAATATCAAGTACAATACTA